GTCCTGAAGGAAAGATTATGTCATATGTATGTGCCATAGTTGTGTATCAACTGTGACCATCATAGTTTATACTTACAGTCTCGTCTTAACCTTGATTTTATAGATCTACATAAGGAATCTGTAATAATCTGTAATAGTAAGTAACTTACATTCCTATGCCTTTTTTTCTTCAGGTTTCAGAAAATCCCATTTCTATGCTATGTGGCTCTTCTATGTACTAGTATTGTATTCTCTAGATAATTTTCATCCCTTATTGTAGACCTAATTGTAGTGTCTTCTTTCTTCAATCAAGAAAAACTACTAGAACTGGTACCTTCAAAAGGAGAAAATTCCAGAAGCCAAGAATCCTCCTCCTTTCCTTCTTTTCCTGCCAGGTACGCTGGCTTGTCTGTTGGCACTCAATTCTGATGCTGATGTCTTCTGTGCCCTCCACGGTATTTCTCAGAATACAAATCCAGTAGATCTGCCTGCTTAGATTCTGCCAGCACCTACCTGGCAATTACGATGGCGGAAGAGGTAGAAGGACGCAGCAGCGGCCATATTCTTCCTCTAGCAGTGAAGGTGAAGATTGAGGCTTCCATCAATCTCCTGCCTCTGGAAGCCGTTTCTGGAAGTTCCTGGCCTGTGCAGCAGTGATTTCCTAAAACTTAGCTGCAAAACTGAAACCTAATTGTGGGATTTCCTTCCATTTCCCTCTTCTAGCCTTTCTACCTTTTTACAGACACTGAACTGGCTGTTTTAAACGCCTTCCTGCTTCAGATACCCAAGGTGATTTCTCTTTTTCTGACTGAAGACTGACTGATGTGCCTTAAATTTATATAAACCTGTGGCTCAGCAGTCACCTCAGCAAAACAAAGCAAGCAAGTCTAATTGAGGTTATCAGCACCAGAGCCTCAACCCATAAATTGAAAAGTGTTTTCAACTCAAAAAAAAAATAGCCAATTTATGATTTCCTTGGTCTCCCCAGATCTCACAGAATTTCACATCTATGAGAATTTAACTATGGCAAGTTGAAAGTGCTGATATAAAAAATACCATAAAAGTTGAAAGTGCTGATATAAAAATATTATGAAATTTTGCTGCATAAAATTGCAATCCTCTAAAAAATCCAAGAACTGTGATTTTTGAGGCTAGATAAAAAATGCCGCACCAGTATCACCAGAGCGTCTACACGTCCACCTCTAATATGTTGAGCTCCTTTTTAACTTTCAATTCCCTTGATGTATGTATCTGTTTTACTTATGATTTTGTTAATTTTTAAGGATAGGACTATGTTAGGGGGTTGGTTGGTTCCTTGATTCCTAGGAAATGTTCAAAAGACATTAGTCAAATTAAATATAAAATAAATAAGTGATTTATTTGCCTTGAGGGAATAAACAGCAGCTCACACACTTCAAATTGAAGTCACTTTTAGCAAACATAAGAAGATCACTGAGGGATCTCCATACGAATGACAGGTGCTGTCACTTTCTTTTAGAAATCTTTTCTCTATGTATTCAAGATGGATTGATGTTACGCAGCAATCTACAGGTATCCAATGAGCCTGGCAATCGCTACAACCTTCAGCTTATCAATGCTGGTGCTCTATGTAGGAACTCAGGCCATTGGCATATCCACAACAAGGGCAGCACACCTTCCATGAGCACCATCACTCACTCGGCACACATGGACATCTTCCAGAACCTGGCTGTGGATTTGGACACTGAGGGTCGGTATCTTTTCTTGAATGCAATTGCAGATCAGCTGCGGTATCCAAACAGCCACACTCACTACTTCAGCTGCACCATGCTGTACCTTTTTGCAGAGGCCAACACTGAAGCTATCCAGGAACAGATCACAAGGGTTCTTTTGGAACAGTTGATTGTAAATAGGCCACATCCTTGGGGTCTTCTTATTACTTTCATTGAGCTGATTAAAAACCCAGAATTTAAGTTCTGGAACCAGGAGTTTGTACACTGTGCCCCAGAAATTGAAAAGTTATTCCAGTCGGTTGCGCAGTGCTGCGTGGGGCAGAAGCAGGCACAGCAAGTAATGGAAGGGACAGGGGCCAGTTAGATGAACTCGATCTCCAGTGTAAAGGTGTCACTGCACCACGTTCATAAACTGAAGAATCCTTTCAACTCTTCCTGACTTTCCCAGCCCTTTGGTTCTCGGGGTGTCTGTCCCACTTACTGTTGGGGCCGGCCTCCTGCCTAGGTAGGCAGGTTCCAAAGTTTAAATGCATTTTTTTTACTCTTGATGCTGTGAATATCAATCACTTTGAACTTGTGTAAATATATGAAAAAAAAAACCCTTTGGAAAAAAAAAAAGATGGATTGATGAGAATATATTTCCCACCTTCCTCAAACAGATTTTAGATGAGCTCCCCAAGTGATTCTTATGCACCCTAAAACTTAAGAGCCACTGCAAAAATTCAAAACACATTTCCTCTTCTCTTTTTCTTTAAAATCTCTATGCAAGGAGTGAAATCTAAAGAATCCAAAGACGTACAGCTCTTTCTAGGATTACAGCTAAGAAATGATGCATGAAATTGGAATTTTGAAGTTCAAAGTTCCTTACAGATCATTTAATTTAAACTTCTCATTTATATCAGCAGTCTTATCTATAGTTCTACACACAGTTTGAGACAGAAGAGAAATCAGAACTGAGATAGTCTGACTTTCTATCCAGCACTTTCTAAGGCAAGGTTGTCACACACATTTGTATGAGTGATGAACTGCCCAACACCACGCATGTCCATCATGCTGTGGCCAGACATATGCATTAGCATGGTTTTCTAGTCAGATAGCAGCAAAGTTCTAACAAAATTACTTTTTTTTAAAACAAGTAACAGCATCTTGAGGAAGGGCACAGCTTTCTAATATGCACGAAGATGTAACATGGGCTGTGGCAGGCAGCTCCTCCTCCTTTTAATTCAATATACCTTACTTGTGTACAATACGCAGGTTCTAAACTCAGCAACAAATACAGCACAGATTCATTTATGGGAACTTCAACTATGCAAAGCTGAAATTGCTGATACAGGAAGATCTTATAGAGTTTTGCTGCATAAAATTACAACTCTAAAAAGCTGCCAGAACTGCAAATTCCAAAACTGGCTGGCCCAGTGAATTGCAAATGGTGTTCATGGACTGTCGTGCAATGTGCTGCATTACAAAATGTGGTGTGACCCACACTTCTATTGATGTGTCCTGAAACTTCTATGTGTGACTCGGTAACCACTGCAATACTGTTTACACTATAAGCTTTCAGGTCAGAAGTGATAGATCTGATGGAACCCTTAACTACATAATCAAGAGGCTCCCATCTGTTAATTTAGGAGAAAGCACACTTGAAAAGCCACTGGAGAAAATGGCATAAAAATAAAATACAGCAGTGAGGCCAAAACCTACAGGGACATCATCCCATCTAACGTTTATTCCTTTGTGAGAACTAGTCTCAAATTATGAATATTTCAAATTATGTAATGTATTCAGGACAGCATCCTTTACCTAAAATGCAGCTCGCTTTACTTTAAAAATCATGTCTTTAAGTAATCCTAACCCCAACTCTGTGCCTGAAAGCCAATGTATAAAGTTGAAAAAGCCCTGGGGGGTTTCCAATTTAACACCACAGTTAGTGACCCACAAAGGGAGTGTAATTTTATGGTAAGTGTCCCAGAAGTTAGATCCGTTTTTGTGTGTTCTTAATTCTTTTTAGTACACAGTGAGATGCATTATCACATAGGCAAATGCTGTGGTCAGTTTTAGTTCAGGCGCTGATAGGTTTTGAGTTTATCATTACATTATGTCAATTTAACCAATTTAAAAAAGAAGGTCAAACAATCTTCTTTCCCACCGAAATAGCATAGTAATGAGTCAATAAGCACAAAATACTTTTAACCTCAGGAAACCTGATTTGTAAACACAGAGCATGGTAAGCCCTAATCTACATAGGGTAACATCTATAGGTAAATAGAGCCACACCTTCTGTTGCAACTGATGCTGACATTGTCCACCTACCTGGTCCTTCCTCCCAAGCCACCCTAGCATGGATTGACCATGAGCTCTAGGGCGCCGAAAATGATATATTTTGATCCTTAGTCTTTGTAAAAAGCATCAAATGGCTGATTACAAGGGAAACTGCTGGAGGCTTACACTTAACTGAACCATAAAAGTTTTGGGATTGCTTTTTATTTGGAAGTGCACAAATGTGGGTAGGGTGTTTCCATAGTTATATCCAAGCCCAGGACTTCTAAAGCCTATAGACTGGTCTGAGGTCTACCAGTCAAATGAAAAAAGAAATCCACCAAGAAACTTCAACAAATTGTTTCCTACCAAGTAAGCAGTCTTAATAAAGGACTAACTTCTCTCACCAATAGGGACCGATTATAACAGCTTGGGCAGTGCTACAAATCTAAGAACATGAAATCTTGCTTTGCTAGGGATTACCTGCTAAAATCCTGATAAAATATTCACTATCACTATTATAATGACTTTCAGGTCAACTCAAGACATTAAAATCTGTAAAGAGACATTATTCCTTTGCTTTATTTCTCTACTACAGGTGGGCTGCTTTTGCTGAGTGGTCTTGGCAAGCTCTGTAACCCCCGGCATTCGTTATTTCCGAATACTCACGACTTCTCTATTCTGTGTCAAAGCTGAGATGTGTGAGTGCATAAAAACAAAAACTATGTATTTCTACCCTGCATTTCCACACCTTGGATCCCTTCCAGACACCATTGCAAATATGACACTCTGCTGCAGGGTACTAAAAATGGTTCTTTCCTCAAAATAAAACCTTTAAAGATCCCTTAGTAGCTATTCAGGGACTGGAATTCAATTTCAATTCTCCACCCTTTGGCCAGCTGTAGATTCAAAATGCTTACATAAAACATCAAGAGTATTTCTTCATGGCAAATTTGATTTTTCTTCTGCAGTAGAAATGGTGCCAGAGTTATCACAAACTGTATTTTTACTTACAAAACACACAAAGCAATAATGTGCCTCAACAAGAAAGAATAGATCTTAAATTTTATTTTATAGGTAGGTTTGATATAAGCTTCAGATAGACCACTTACTACACAGAGCTTATGAAATCTACACTTTGAAATCATAATACTCTATTCTAGGCCACAATATCTAAAAGCACAGCTTCTCAAATTCTTTTATTTACAAGTAGTTCCTGCACATAAATGTTATGCCACAATAGCTAAAAAAATGTAAACTTCTTTTGCAAACTACATAAATACTATATTATCTGCCTTGAAGTTATTTTTATTTTAAATCACAATATACTTTAAATGTCTTATATAGAGAACTTTGGTAGCCTATGAGGATAACATACTATTTTTCTGTTATACTGATTTGCCTTTTATGTTGCCTACTTGGGTCTTTGAAGGAGAAAAATTCAAAATAGAACCTGGATCAAAATTTATTCCACAAGTAAGATACATTCCAAAATGTGTTGATAACCTTGGGCAAAATATGAGACGTGAAATTATTCCACAAATACTAAATCTAACAAGCCACCAGGAATATGGAGGAAACTAAAATTAAGGATTCCAGTCATGCTCAGATTTGATCCTATATGGAACTGATTTCGTTTGCTTCTCAGTGTATCTTTTCTCAGTTATAAAAACTCACTTTAAGTGAAGTTTCTCTTTTCATTTACAGCACAACAGGTCACATCTATAAGTGACTGGCCTAGGCCAGAAAGTCCAGGTGAGCAGTGAATTTATTTCACCAACCCTGTCCTCGGTTCTTTGAACATGAAGTTAAATTGTACGGGTAGCTGTGCACATGTGCGTGCAGGCATGGGGAGAGGACCACACCAAGGCCTTTTCTTACTTCAAATGTTCTTTTTCTAGAAAAAAAAATATCACATTTACTGAGGTGTTATTCTTCGATTTCGACTAATACCTAGCTACCGGCCACGGTTTCTTTGAGGGAAAAACAATACCATTGCTGAAGCACTTCTGAAAGTCTTAAATGCATGCAGAAAGAACTACATAGGTTTTCTTAGCAGCTACATGAGGTGGCTCAAGTAACATTATTTATTATTTACTGTGGCCTAAGCCACTTAACATCTTTTAAAACACAGAAAATGGCTACAGGATGGCCGAGGCAGATGCTCTGAGCAGCGGACCGTGGCGCTGCCTCCTGAGTGTATGCGCAAGTTCGCAAAGGGCACAGTGTGGTCTCTGCACTGCTCACACTTCGCAACTGTGACATCAAGGAGAAAATAACATTGTTTTACATCTAGCGATGATTCATTTAGATAGACCTCATTAACACTGTCATGGGCTTCAGAGAGACAGGGAAGCATTTTAACAGCTCGGCTTCCAGGGAGGCCTGGGTGAGTGGAGAAGAGTCTGGAGCTCAGGAGCTGCTTTTGTTGCAGACCGTGCCTTGGCTAATACTATCTTCCATGCACTGGCTGCCCGTGTCGCTCCTGCTGAGGATGGTGGAGGGGATGCGGGAAGGCTGCCTCTCCGGGTTGCTCTCTTGCCAGAAGCAGATCATCTTCTTCATGGTGCTGTACATGTCCTCATCCTTGTACGAGTAGATGATGGGGTTCATGACCGAGTTGAGCAAGGCCAGCAGCAGGAACCAGCGTTTCACGTGCTGTACGCCGCACTGCGTGCAGTTCAAGCCGTCCAGGAGCAGCACTACCAGGCCCGGGGTCCAGCACACTACAAACGCACCTGGGAGAGAGAAGAGCAAGCAACACGCGCTCAGACTTAAGGCTGCCATTCAGGCTGCTTTTGCAGATTTATTTTGTCAGCTGCCAAGCAAACTCCCAGGCTGCCTTGAACGTTTGAAAACCTGGAACCTCTTTTCTATCCACCACATGCTACTTTGCTCCCTTATGTGGGGTTATTACTGAGGGTTTGCATTTACACAGCATTACTCGGGCACCATCTCTGAAGGTCTCTGGACTGCAACAGGAGACAGCTATGATTATTATCTACAGCTGATGGATGGGGAAACTGAGGCCCGGTGTCAAGGGTGAAGTGTGAGGCCTTTCTGATTCCAGGGATCATACACTTAACCTTTCACTCGTCTGTTCTCCAAATCAGGCTTTCTTGAAAATCTCGCTGTGATTAATTCAGTCCTCAAATAAAACCCTACACAAGCTTTGTTATAAACAAGTAACCATTACCTCCAAGGCATTCTTCTGGTGCAGAAGGGATGTGTGCAGCATCCAGCTGTTTGGTATCAATTGAAAGCTCCAAAAATCCCACCATCGCTGCCCTAGTGTTTTCACCAAGTCACTTGCTCAAAACTTTTACTCTTTATAAATTCTCACTGATGTGAGCACTGTATTCCTTCTGACATATTCACAGACCATTTGCTTAATCATCTGCTCTAGATTTAGATTTCGGTCAGACATAAATCTTTCATGACAAGATAGTCAGAAACATGCTTCCTAGATTGCAGCTGAACATAAACAGTGGTCTCTTCCAAGTTTCCAGCCATTGGATCACACGTACCTTACATCTAAACCTCCTAACATTTTTCTACTGAAATATGAGACCCAAGTTCAGTATTTTGCAATTTACATAGCTGGCTTTTATAGCATGCTTACTATAAGCCAGACAATGGTGGAAATGTCTTCTTTGATTATCTCAAAGGACCATACCACGTCGTTGGTGTTATTATTATCCTCAGGAAACTGAGGCACCCAAGAAGTTACATAACCTGCTTCTGATTACATAATCTTTAAGGAACACCTAATTTTAAACGCAAGCAGTCTTTATTCATGGCTGTGTCCTGGCCACTGTGTGACCTGCCTCAAGAGTCTTCCGATATACTTATCATCTCAAAATGTGCTTGCACATAACCCATTCAATAAATATTCATCTCAAGTTGACTCTGTGCTGGGAGCTAACTCAGCAGTATGTGAGATGAAGGTGGTATGCAGGGAGCTAAAATGCTGACATTTTAGCAAAGAATGAACAAGGAAGTCCATAAAACCATACCAAAACCTAGCTCTGGAATTCTGGACATTATTCATTTTGTGTTATCTTTCTTCTGAGAGATATAACACTAAGCAAGATGAATCAAGAACTACATAGAGACAATGCACAGCAAGGAAGGAGCATGACTTTTGGGGTCACACTATGCTCAGCCCCTGTCTTATGAGTTGCCCATTTTAGGCAAATTACTGCTTCTCTGAGCCTTCCTTTTTCCCCTTCATTCTTATTGAGCCATGAACTATATATTAGATACTGTTCTAAAAATTTTTTATTAACTCATTTAATCCTCATAGCAATCCTTGGAAATAGGTAAATCAATATTATCTTTATTTTAAGCCTGAGGCAACTATGGCACAGAAATGTTAGGTGATGTGCTCAAAAGCATTCAGCTAAGTGTGAGAGTCAGGATTTGATTCCAGGCATCCCAGTACCAGAGTTTGTGCTCCTGTCCCTGCACTAGGCTGTTCCACGGTGGGCATTTTACAGAAAGCATCTTACAATGAATGCATGATCAGAGGCTACATCTGGACTTTAAGGTCATATCTGACTGTGAAGCTACATATACCAGAACTAAGTCATTCTTCAGCTAACAGAAAGATTTTCTAGCCAAAGAAAGGAGAGGATAGAACAAGAGAGGGAGTGAGGTTGGCTCTGGTACAAAAAGAATGAAATAAAAATATGATGATTTTTATCTTTAAGCTCTTTCCAATGAACAGGAAGAGGCAAAGTCTTCATTGCCAGAAGAGCTAAAAAACAACAGGCTACTAAGCTGGGCAACAGCTGCTTCAGAGATGTTACCTTTAGCTGCTCCCAAGCATACTTCCTGGCAGGCAGTAATCCAGGAAAACATAGCCATTGCAAGATCCCTCCATCCAGAGGCCAAGCTCTAACCAAACACATCTCAGAATAGAGGCACAGTCTATCTACCCATCCATTCTTTAGAGGTTTTTATCATATGTCAGCAGCTAGATAAGAGGCCCCAAGAAAATTAAAAAGAGAAGAAAATGTGAGGAATGGACTTGGCCCTGGGCATCGGTAATCTTGGAGAATTCTTAGAGAATGTGGGAGATGTCAGAAACATACAAATGGGCAAATGTACTAATTCTTAAAGGGGTGAGAGAGAAAGAGAGATCAGTCAGAGCCATACCAATCCTCAATACATTCTAGAAGAAAAAACTAAAAGTAATGTTCTTTGAGTATTTAGCCTTAAGGATCCAACCATTACAATGAAGTACCAGCTGTGTTCAAAGAAGTTATGACTGGTCCAAATCACTAAAAAATAATCAGGTATCATCAAATAGGAGTGAGTCCAGAGGCATCTCTCTGGGAACCAGGGGATATGTTTTTCCCAGGTGGAGTGCATGATATTTTAACTGTTCCTCAAAACTAAAAGGCTTTCACAGAGAGAAGAAACATATCTTGAACCATTCTAGAGTATCACTCAGAACAGAAAGGCACAATGAGTGAGAATTTGGATTTAAGACTTTGAGTAATGGAGGTATTTAGAAAGCAACACATTATTGTGTGTGTGGGGGGGGCTTTAACCAGGGTATTTCCTTTACCTGGCTGTTCCTGTGTGTGTGTGTGGGGGGCTTTAACCAGGGTATTTCCTTTACCTGGCTGTTCCTGAGATATGCCAAGGGAAGAGATTTTTCCCTACAGGAAAGGTAAGCGATGTGTCTTCTGATTTGTTTTCTGTGCAGAAAATTGCTAAGTTCTGTGAAATTTTGACTTTCAACTCTCCACAAAATTCAAACAAATTTGATTTGCTTGTCAGACATACTTATAAGATGGTACGGCTGAAAACTCTGATGAGAATGGATTCCCTAAGCTACTACCTTTCCCCAAGATATCTGGCCAAATGAACCACCAAGGGGGGCCTTTTAATAATGCAGCCTCTAGTCCCATATCAGACCCAACATCGGAATCTCTGCGGTAGGATGTGGAAGTCTGTTGGACTGACAGGTTCCATGAGTGATATTATGTGAAACTAGTTTTGTAAACCATTTGTCTATGCTGACACAAAAATGGGTTCCATTGAGCTGACCCCCACAGCAAACCTATAGACTCCATGGACTTAGCAAAAAGGCATCAGAAAGATAGGAGGCCCTGAATTCTTTAAAATGAGGAAACACTATGTACAGAGATCAATATATTCACCTCGTGTTTGGAAAACTGTTTGAGCACATATGCATAAATCAATGTAAACTCTAGCTGCAAAACTGGTGTATAGGCAAGGCACACCCATCTTGCCAGAAATGTCTTCCTGTCTCCTCATCTAAGTCTACTTTTTCCTCTATGCTTGGTTCATATTCTGCCTCCTCCACTGATCTACTGATCCCTGTAACCCATGCTGATTCTCCCTCCTCTCAACTCCTGTGGTACTCTCCACCTGCAATGCTTGTGTGGCACTGGCCACATTACTTGCTCCATTCCATGCTTTCATTTTCTGAGAGCTCTGGATCAGGCAGAAGCTCAGGGTTTCATACATATGTCCAATCCAAAGCTCACAGCCCTGCAAGGTTACTAGTCTTACTATTGTGCTAGTGTAACATATGATGTACTTGAAGTTTATAGTGCTTCCACAGTTTTTCCCGGGTCTGTAAGACAACAAATAGAAGAATCACAATTTGAACCCAGGCCCAATGCCCCCATGCAAGGCACTCGAGCGCTGTGTAATCCTGGAGGTAGTACTTTATACTATTCTTAGGTACCATCTCCAAGCTTATTATAAGCCCTCTAAGTATATAGACTGTGCGTCACATTTGTTTGATCTTAGATCTATGGATGGAGCCCCACACTCAGTAGCGTAGGAGATGAGCAAGGTGACTATAGCTGAAGTTTACCAAGAGCCAACACAAGGCCAGGCTCTGCACTAGTGGTAGCACCTGCTGATATAAAGAGTATACCAGTTCTGGCCTTCAGGTGTTACAGGGATGGACACAGCATCTGATGACTCAAAGAAGAGCCAGGCTGAAGTAACAGATGAGCTGGTTGCTGAAGGTCAAGAATTACTGTGTGGAGGTTAAAAACACAGCATGATATATATGGGGAATTCCAAGTAGTTCAGGATGGTTTTAACCCAGGTAGGTGATTGAGGAAGTAAAATGAAGTCCAAGAGGGGAACATGGGCTAAATCCAGACCTCTATGAGCGATACTCAGGGGTTTGTATTTATTGTATAGATTAGACATTCTAAGCCTTTTCTAAGTCAGGAACTCACCCAGAGAATTAAGTCTGAATGCGCTCACATAGCCACTTCATGTAATAAATAAGCTCTTATCAAGCATCTAGAATGGTATGAGTTATGCACCATCTTCAATAGGTGCTATGGCTTAAATACAAAGTGTCCCCCAAAAAATATGTGCTGACAGCTTGATCCCCAGTGCAGCCATGTTCAGAGGTGGAGCCTAGCTAAAGAGGTGACTGGATCATAAGGGCTCTAACTTCATCAGTGGCTTCATCCACTGGCAAGTTCACAGTTGAACAAGCCACTAGAAGGCAGGACCGAGCTGGAGGGTGCAGAACACTGTTATGGTTTTGAAGGGTGCACCGTGTCCCCAACGCCTCACTTGCTATCTTTCTGCTTCCTGACAGCTCTCCTCTACCACACCTTTCTGCAGTGACATTTCTGCCTTGAGGCCAGGCCACTGTGGGCTGAGATCTTTGAAACTCTGAATCAATACACACTATTCTTCTTTAAGCTGTTAACATCAGGTATATTGT